ACCAGCAGTGGGGTGGGAGGAGGAAGAGGAAGGTCATGGTGTTCAATTTCATGCCAGACTCCTGGCTCCAGTGTTCTCCAGCTCCTTGGTCCCCATTCCCCAGGAAGGAAGGGGCTGGCAAAACCCATTCTGCCTTGTGGGACATCTTGGCTCACTCTCTGGATGAGCAGGGGTGGAGCAGAGGGAGCTCTGCATTTTAAAAGGTCCCTGGAAGGAAAATAGTCCATCTTGCCCATCAGTGTGGACCCAAGTTCTTTCTAGACCATCTCCTTGGGCAGTGATGATGAACCTTTCAGAGCTCTCAGTGATGCCAACAGCCTACTGTGGCATGCGTGCCATGGTTCTTATTCCCACCTTACAGAGGAGTGACAGGGAGAGGAGAAGGCTCCAGGCTCCACTTCTGGCTAGGGGCAGAGCCTTGCCTGTCCCCCAGCCCCATGAGTGATGGCCACCTGCATATGGAGGCTGCCTGGGAAGGTGACTTCAAGCGCAGCATCAGTCACCAATGAATTAGTTGGCTTTCCATCAATATTAAGGAGAAAGATTGCTTTTTTTAATTTTATTTTTTATTTCTGTGTGTGTGTGTGTGTGTGTGTGTGTGTGTGGCCAGCTCAGCCCACCAGGGGGCGGGTCTGGCTGGCATGTGGTGCTGGGGATTGAACTGCGGTCCCTGTGCTTTGCTAAGCTTGTTCTAAGTAGGTGCTTTAGACCACTGAGCCTTCTCATCAGCCCCAGAAAGATTGCTTTTTAATGGGACCGAAGAGTGGGTGTTCCTGTGACTAGTGGGAACACATGTCAAATGCCCAAGAACCTGGTAAATAAATGGGAACCAACCAATGTTTCTAAAAATGATATTAATGGCTAGAGTTTGTAAAGGAGCAAGAGGCCCTGGTGTTTATGGAGTGCTCTGTGGAGACTGGACTGGCCTCGCTGTGAGTTGGTCCTTCAGAACCACCCTGGAAGGCGGTGTCCCAATTGTGCAGGTGAGGACACTGTGGTTTGATCGAGGTCAAGTTACAGCTGTGATCTTGGATCCTAGTGTGGGAGTGGCTGCACCCCACTGACTAGTCGGCTGCTGAGAGAGCTGGCTGCCTCTGAGCCTCCATGTCTTCTCCCTGAGCTCTACAGAGATGCTAGCCCATATCTAGGGGAGCCCAGGAGGGCTGGTGACAACACAGGTGTGACTTGAACGGGTTCTGCTGGCCTCCGGCTGCCTGACTTCTATGGGGCTCCCAAGCCCATCCCGGGCAAAGGCTGCTTCCGGGCAGGTCCTGCTGTCTGCCTTGACAGCCACAGCATCTGGCCCACGCATTCCAGGACACTTGGGACAGGTGCAAAGGGGTCCTGGGACTCCCAGGGTGGCACAGGTGGGGATGGATGCCTCTGTTCTCTGCTCTTTGCCTCCAACTACATGAGCAAGGGGATGCGATAGCCATGACGTCCCTAAACCTCTACTGCCGAAGTGTGAACTCTGGCTGGAGATGCCCTGGGCTGCTGCTCCTCCCTGGGACAAACTCCTACGCATCCTCAGGGACTACAGAAGTGCTTTCTCTTCCCCCCACATCTCAGAACCTCTCCCCTGAAGTGCTCACCTGTCTTGTTCTTCAGCTGAGATTCTAATCTGTCTTGTGGTAAGTGTTAACGCGCTTTTGCAGGTCTGAGCTGGTGTGTGTGTGAGGAGGGTCTTTGGGAACAGGAAGTGACTCCAGCCGGGCTCTGAGCCCAGCCGGGATTCCTTTGACTACAGTCAGCCCTGGCATATGGGCTCTCTCAGGGTTGTAGTATTGGCATGTCAGCTCCATTCACCCATTTTATAGATGGGGAGACTGAGGCCCTGAGTTGTCATTGATATTTTCATGCCTCTTCTCATGGAGCTGGATGTTTCTGAAGGATGAGGATTGTGTTTCCTTAGCTTCTGAGAATCAGAGCCTGGGAGTTTGACAGAGAATAGGGGTTCAAAGACTGCTTGAGAATAAAGGCTGAATAATGATTGACTGAAAGGAGGGCTGCACTTTCAATGGTTCCACCCAGCTGGTCCAGATCTCACTTGCCTGGACCTGGCTCCTGGGTCTCCTTGGGCGCCTCATTTTACTCAAGCCACGCCCACAGAGAGCAGACCACGCCCATCCTCCCTACCCGCCACGCCCCCTTGCTCACCCCTGCTCCTCCATCATCTCCTGCAGCTCCATGCACTTGAGCTCCACTCGCCGCTTACGCTCATGGTCCAGGATCTCGCGGTGTGCGCGCTTCACCAGGGCCGGCTCCGCGGCGCGCAGCTCCTCCTCCGGCCGCGGCCAGGTCCCAGACGAGGCTCCGGGCTGCGGGAAGCCGTTGGCGGCATCGGGCGGGGACGGCGTGCCAGGCGCCCCGTTGTTCACGGTGGAGGACATGGTAGCTGGCCCTAGCCGCCGGCCCTGCGGGACAGATACGGAGGCGGGAGGGTCACTTCCTGGCCACCCGCTAAGCTCCTCTCGGCGCCAGCTAATCCTAGGGCTCCGAGGGCCGCTCCTGGCTCTAATCTGCTTCCTCTCAGGCTGGGGGAGATGGGGAGCAGCAGAGGGTCTGAACCTCGGGTCACATCTCATCCCAGGAAGCACCTGGACCCTGGGAGCCTCAGTGCGCTCGAGCTCCCCAGCCATTCAAGGCCTGTCTGGAATCCTTGCGGGTTTTATTTACATACTTTTCCTTCAGCCCACCCCTACTCTCCTGGTTCTGTCCCAGTAGGGTCACAGATGACGGGTGTTTGTACCTTCCAGTCTGCACCCTGTAAGGATAGGAAGTTGGGGCTGTCTCTAAGTTCCACTCTCTTCCTCCTGGATGCTGTTTTCAGTTCCTATTTCTATCTCACTTCCTCAGAGCCAACTTTCTAGCTGGGGGTCTCATCCAGATTAAGGCCCAGAGAACTGTGCCCTCCTTTGTTCTGGAAACACTGCTTCTAGTGATGTGACCAAGAGTGACACTGCATTAACTCTAGGCAGCCACATCTCCTGTAGGAATGGAGTAGAGTGGAGTTAAAAGCCCTGGCTCTGTGTTAGGTCCAAAGTAGAGCAGGCACCTGTACACACACACACACACACACACACACACACACACACACCCCCAAGGGCCTCTATCTTAGCAGAGGGGAGGCACCTCCTGAGCTATTTATTTCTTTTTCCCTTCTTCAAGTCTCTGCTAGTTGCTAAGCAACAGGGAGGCCTCATTCCCAGGGAGTGGGATGGGAGGGAGGGCAGGGGAGGACGGAAGTAGAGAGAGAAGGGATTGGGCCTGCCAGATGGGGTCTTCCCAGCAACACTCTCCCAGCACTCCCCCCCCCAAGGCCCTGCTGGCCTAAGAGGGGTGGGGTAGAGAGCCATCAGAGCCACAGGAGCTGGAAGGCAGAGAGGAGGACAGCAAGGGCCCACTGAAGAGGCATTGCAGGGCACCAGGAGACTGTGATAAAGACAAGCTCCTCTCAGCTCCTCCCTCCAAGTTCCAGGCACCTGAGGTAGCTCTAGGCCAGGCTCTTCAACTCCTTGCTGAGTGACCCTGAGGATTTCACTGCCCCTCTCTGATACCTGTCCTTGGGAGCATCACTCAGACTCCTCAGGAGAGGAGGCTTCTGGGGGCCGAGAGACTGCAGCTGTTCCTGTGTCCTACTCTCTTTACCCCAAGTCCCCCTGGCTTCCTGCTCTGTCCTGCACCCCATTCCAGCAGGTCTTCTCCTGGAGTATCCTACAAGTATCACCTGCTTGCCATGCCCCAAACCAAGCTCAGGGAGCCCAGCTCCTCTTGCACCTCGGCCATGGTGCCAGACCGTTAGTGACCCCTCCATCTGGAGGTCACCCGAGCCAGGGACAAACTTGTGGCTTGGAGTCCTCATCGCCTCTGTCTGCTCCCTCAGTGTCCCACCTGGCCTAGTTGCCCTCGGACTGCCACCCTTCATCAGCAACCTGGCAGACTATCCCAGGAACACACCAGACTGTGTCGTGCCCAGAGTCAGCTCCAGTGACTTCCTGTCATCTTGGCTTAGTGTCCGACATGTGCAGCCTCCCAGGCCAGCCTCATCTCTGCCTCATCCTCCGCCTCTCTCGACCCACCTAGTCCGCTTACTGCTGCTTCTTCTCCTAGGATGCTCTTCACCTGGCTCCCGCTGTCCTGAGAGTCACCCCTCGAAGGCATTGTTTCCTTCCAGAAGCCCCCCTCGCTCTCACCCTTTCACAAGCTCTCTCCACTTCTGCCAGCACTGCAGGTTCACTGTCTGGCTCCCCTGGGTGGAGGGGAGTTTAGATTTCAACTCTAGTGACAGTCAAGTGCCTAACACTTGGCACAGGAATGGAACCAGAGAATTACAAAGGGAGGTTGATGGAGAACACAGGGCCAAGTCAGTGTGGCCCCAGGGCCCTTTTGCTGTTTGCCTCCTGCCATCTCCAAACTTCACTCCCCATGCCCCTGCCACTACTAGGAGCTGGGGATAGAACCCAGGGTCTCGGGCATGCCAGGCAGACACTTGCCATGGAGCCCACCCCCTTATTCTGCCCTGTCCTGAGCCAACCTCCAGCCCCCCCATATTTCCCAACATGGTTCCTGCTGGCTGGAATTTATGGCTTTTTCCTGTTCTCCACTGAAGGAGTTTCAAAATCCTTCTGGGGCTCAGCCCAGTTGTTACCTCTTCTGGGAAGTCTTGCCTCTTTCAGGAAGTTTGATTCATTCCCTGTTGGTGTCCTCATAGCTTTTTTCCCCCTTTACTACTGGAGATCGAGCCCAGGGCATTTGTGCTTAGCTACATCTCCTTATTTTGAGTTAGGGTCTCACTGAGTTACCAAGCTGCCCAGATGGGGCTTGAACTGAAATCCTCCTGCTTCAGCCTCCCAGAGTACAAGGAGTATCATCATGGCAGGCTTCTCACACCTGCTGCCCACATCTTGGATATGATCTTTAGATCCCTAGGTTCATCTTATTTGCATCTGACTCTGGTTCCTGACTGTGAATCCCTTTAGAGGAGCGCCTGAGCCACGGCTTGGTCCACTTCCTCCAGGCCAACCCCAGTAGCTGCAGTGCCCAGGCACTCAAGTGATGGAGAGGGTGGTGAGGCTCCAGCCCTCAGCTCTGCTCTCCACATCTTCCCTCTGATCCCACCTACAACATGGTCGGAGCTCCCAACAAGCAGGGAAAGCCGGGGGTGTATTCTGAAAGCGCTTGAATTTCCAAACCTTGTGCAAGTCTATTCTCAGCAGAGGAGAGGCCAGGTGACATTGCTAGGCTACTGAGGGTGATCTTGCTAATCTGAGGGCCAGGGAGTGTGGTGTGAGGCCACCAGGGGCAGGTGTAGTCTGTATGTGGCCTGCCATAGGCAGTGTCCACATGGTTCACCGGCTGTGATACAGGATAGCTGGGCTGGACTCTGAGGAAGACAGATAGATGGCCCCTCAGCCTTGATGGCAGACACTGCACACCGAGTCCACTACCTGCCAGGGTGAGGACAGCCAGTTGGGGGTCCCTGAAGGCACAGGGGGTCTCTGTGCGGCACCATGGTGAGACTTCACAAGGAGAAAGAGACCCTGGGCTGAGAGACACAGGTATAGGCCAAGAATCCTAAACTCCGAATCCAAAGTCCTAAATGCCCCCAAATCTGAAGCTTTCTGAGTCCCAGTGTGACTCCATGGTAGAAAAGTCCATGCTTGACCTCATGATACGGGTCTCAGGCAAAGCACAAGGGCATTAAAATAGTTCAAAATTACTTACCCTAGGCTATGCATATAAGGTGTGTATAAAACAGGTTGAATTTCATGTTCAGACTCAAAGTCCATCCCTAGACATTTCTCTTTGTCTATATTGGGGATTGAACTCAGGGCCTGTGTACTGTGCTATATCTTTTTTTTTTTTTTTTTTTCAGAACTGGGGATTGAACTCAGGCCCTTGTGCCTTGTGCTCAAATATGTGATCCTTCTGCCTCAGCCTCTCAGGGTGCTAGGAATCACAGGCATGCGCCACCATGCCCAGCAACACTGCATTGTATATATGTAAATATCCCCAAATCTGGACACCTTTGAAATCAGAGACACTTTGCAGCTCAAATATTTTGGATAAGGGATATTCAACTGGAACCCCCATCCCCCACACCTGATGGTGCTGGAGATTGAACCCAGGGCCTTGTGCATGCAAGGCAAGAGCTCTACCCCTGGACCACATCCCCAGCTCCTCAACCTGAATCTTTTCCTATTGTAATTGGTTGATAGAAAGACCTACATGGAGGAGAAGCAGATTCATAGGCCAATGTTGTATTAGATGCAAGTATTGAGTGGAGCCCTACAGGGCTCTGTCCTTCCCATGCCTGGTCCAATACATTGACTGGTTGGAAGAGTAATAGCCTAAGATCAGACTTGCTGAGCACACAGTCACAGGGAGCTCATACATTTACAGCCAGAATCTAAAAGGACACAACAGATGGAAAAAATGGAAAGAATCTAAGAAGATGGAAAAGGAGAAGCGGCACATGCCAGAGCTGGGCCCCAAAAGTAACTCTCTAAAATTGGAATGGAGTAGACATAGTCTAGAAGTTGTATATTTAGGAAGGATTTAGGGATTTTCAATGATCACAGACTCAATTTGAGTCAATACTGTGGTGTGGCTACAGAAAAGCACGTTATCTTCAGCTCCATCAGCAACAATACCGTGCCTGCAAGGGGAGATTATAAGCTATACAGGTGGACAGAATTCCTAGCTTCAAAAACTTGAAGGATGATAGCGGATTTAGGTCAAGAGTAGTTGGAATAATTTTTCCTGTATTAGGGATTGAACTCAGGACCTTTGCACTGGACTATATCGATAAACTTTATTTTTATTCTATCTCATTTTTTATGTATTTGGTACAGGGTCTCACTGCGCAGCTTGGGCTCCTAGCGATCCTTCTATTTTCTGCCTCCCCAGTGCTGGAATTACAGGCTTGCGCCACCATGCCCAGACTCAGTGGCTGGCTCAGCTTACTCAGGGGCTGGGCCAGAGTGGCATGTGGTGCCAGGGATCAAACCCCAAGCCCTGTGCTTGCCTAAGCAGGCGCTTAGTCCACTGAGTTATCTCACAGGCCCTTCCATAGCCTTTATCTTTTTTTGGTGGTACTGGTGATTGAACTCATGACCTTGAACTTGCCAGGCAAGCACTTATTCTACTGAGCTATCTCCCCAGCCCTCTATAACCTTTATAATTAGATTTTATTGGTACATTGTAGATATACATAATCATGGACCATAATCTTAAAATTTGTTATTTTTTAAAATTTTGAAATATGAGTCATTTTTTTTTAAATAGGAGTCTTACTAAGTCTCTGAGCTACCCAGACAGGGCTCCAGCTTGCAGTCCTTCTGCCTCTGCCTCCCAGGGGGCTGGGATGACAAGCTCTTACCATCAGGCCTGACTACCTGCTTGAAAC